GCCTTTGTCAAAGTAAACATGGTTGATTGTTGTGTTCAATGCAGACTTCTGGAAAGGGTTCATTTTTGCAATTGCCAAAATATGAGACTCGGTTGCCAATAAACTTCTTTCTTCCTGAATATCTTTTTGAAGTCGTTGTTCTTTTGTAATGCTAACATGATATAAAACAAGTCATTGATATTTTTCCCTAGACATAAGAGAAAGTCATTCAAATATATTCAAATATATGAGGTGTTTGTGTTCAACATGATATACATCTGAACAAGTTTTAATGAGGTCTTCGCAGAGGTGTGCATTAAACTGCAACCATAGTGATTTTGGGTTATCAGCATCACAAAATGATAAGATTTTTGCAAATAACCAGCGACAAGTGCATGGCATTTTCCAACATGTGGTTTCTTTAAGACATTGTTCAATGTCTTGGTTACATTGTAGTAACCCAAGTTTCTTAGTGTTTTCTCTAAAAGTGGCAGCAGTGTATTGCTCAACTGTTTTTATATGCTCATATAACAATGATCATTTGACATTCATCAACAAAATTCTCAAATAGTACCTTTACCCTCCAATTGGATTCACATTGATGAGCTACCTTGTAACCACCCACTTTTGTCTTCGGTGCCACATTTTATCTCTGGTTGACCATACGTAATACTTATGAAAGTAGATGTATAAGAGGTTCAACCTATTGGCCGGTTCATAGAAAAGAAATGAGTAAGCATTGTTTGAGACTTGTGATCAGAATATACAATCTATAATTTTGATTATATCTTACCGTTTCCCAAATGTCATGTATTAATAATTTTCTAAGTGCATTGACAAGTGTATAAAAGACGGTTTAATTTCCGAGAGGGGAAAGTTATAGCTTCTCCACCCATGCTGCATTGATCCATTTTCGGGAAAGTTTAATAGCAATCATGTCATGTCATTTGTATATGTATTCGTATATATGTTTTTTACACCTTATTCCCGCACAGACTTCCATGTTGGTATGACAATCAAATTTAGCTAATAGGTATTGGTTGTAGGGTACAACTAACATATTGTCTAATTTATGTATGTGCACATTTAGAATTATGGAGTTCATACTATGTTTGTAAATAGGGTATTAGGGTATGCGTTGTCTCCTATTTTTGTAGAATCTGGATATTTTCTTGGGTATTTACTTTTACACTATAGTGCACCCTCTTTTGTTGTCATGCATGGATTTTCGGGGTTCATTTCTTCATAAGAATCATGTACATACGATATGTTTTGCGACTAAGGAGTGTAAGTATTCGTTTCGTTGTGGATCGAGAATATCAGCACTAATGATTGCATCAATTTCATCACATGTCCTTTGTTTATATTGCTTAAGTAGTATTATCAAAAAGTGGGCATGTGGAAGGTCGTGTTTTTGAAACTCAATCACATAAGTATACGCATCCACAATCCCAAATAATTTTTTCTTTGTGATTTAAGTTTTCAACTCTCCGACTTTATCACATAACACATGTGCTATCAAATCTAGCCTATTCTGGGCTTCATCATAATGTTTTAGCAATTCCTTGATATCCGGCTAGTTTGTGTTACACGTAATGGTTGGAAAAATGATTGGTTTCTGATACAATTGTACTAGTGTCATTACATCCACGTATAGTACTTTGACTACTTTCTCTGCATGTCATGTGCCCCCCGATAAAAGATGTTGACAAGATAACTCTTTGCCTAACATTGCATGTCTTTGTTTCACCGAAGGTTATTCTGTCCATTAGCCCTTATAGCACTCGGGCATCAATTTATTGGATTTTGAAGTAATCCAATATGTTTTTTTCTATTTTTATATACATATCGACAATAAATTCCTGGGAGAGTCTGCCACAGTGGAGAACGATAGACTCATCTACATGGCGAACTTGTAAGTGGTACGCATAATACTCACAACATGACACAATGGTCCTTTTGTTAGTAGGGACATGGAACAAGTAGTCTATATGATTGTGGTGGACAATCTCAAAGACAATGACCTTCTCTTCTACAATCATTCATTAGACTTGGTTGACTCATTTTAGCCGACTCGGTTGTCTACCACAATTTCTCATTGTAAAACTATATTGACTGCCTCAACTACACATCAAGTCACTAAATACAATGTTTTGGTTAACCATATCTGTGTGACCTATATTAACATTACACTATCACAACACACAAGCATATCAATGTAGCCATGTTAAATTTTTAGGGTATTTAAAAACATAAGAAAGTGTAATCTTTTGACAAACTTCAACACGGATGGGTGCAAGATTGTTGTTTTCCGTGTTTATTAAAAAAAAATTGTGCAATCTGCATAAAGAAATGCAACAACAAACGCAAACAAGGATAGAACACGTTCCAGAAGAAGTGTGATCAGCAAGCGGGGAAAGTTATCTGCTAATCGAATAATATGATATGCATTTATACGGCCATGTGAGGGAAGGGGTGAAGTGAGAGTGTCCTTTAGATTTCCATAAATGAAATTAAATCTCCCCATAAATGCTACATTCATGACTACCCAAACAAATGAAACTTAAAATTAAACTTACACGATAGAAGTTGAATGAGACGAATAGATGCGAGGTAGAGGGGATGATGCAAGGCACAAGGGATGTGCGAGCGAATCGGGTTGTGCGATCGAAGCGGGTTGCTAAAGATGAAGCGAGGGGAGGTTGATGATGTGGGCTGAACGGTTGTGGTCCTTGTGGACATACTAAGTGAGAGCTTTTGTGGGCAGACTAACAGAGACAAATGACACTGCATAGTAAGGGAGTAAGTCAGGGGAGGTTGAACGATTTACTAATTTCAAGTGTGATATACATGTGAACTAAGCTTACAATTACACCAACATTTTTTATACCTACAATAGGCTAACCCTCATTCGTGCGTATTAGTTTATAGATATGTGGAAAGAAAGTGGTGAAGAGCATCGGTTATGAGAAGCATGTTTTAGAAAAGAGTTGTTCAATAGCAATGGAGTTGCAAAGTGGAATTAAGTTAGTCAACTCAAAAATAATACACGAAAAAAGTTCCAAATTTGATTATGGCGGAGTTTGCTGGCAAAAAATATACACTATAACACTAATACTATCATATTACTTTGTAATTGGCTACACTATGATCCTGTTTGATAACACTAAAATTGGATGACTATATTGAAATTGATTAACATCTGGTTGAAATGGTTGAATTGGAAGAATTATGAAAAAATCATGTTTAAAATATATTGTATTAATAAAATAAAGAAAAAAATTATGAAAAATAGTTAAAATAATCATCTACACTAACTTTTCAATTCAACCAGAAAAGTAACTCCAACATTACTTATATTGATCATTATACTTTTTAGGACATAATTGATATTTAATTACTCATTTGGTGAAAAATTTGGCTGATAAGGCTGAAAAACCGAAAACAAATATCACCAAACGTGCTCTATACAGCCAATACCTTGCCCTGAATGAACTTCGGAGTTTTGTACATTTTGAAACAACATTACTTTCTATTATAAATTCACAATGAGGAAGGAAAACACATTTGTGTTGTGAATGAGGCCGGAAATATTATGTCATTGTAGAAAAATTAAGAAAATGAACATCTAATAAAACGAGTATAAGAAATATAAACAAGTTTGATAAAGTAATGTCAAGTTTAAAATAAATAATGTTTGTTGTATCATTGGCAAAGCATCACAATATATCAAGGCATATAGCTACATGAGTAGTTTTTCTAAGAACATTGATACATTTGCTACTAAATTAATTCTGGTTCTTTACCTAACTCGTCCCTTATTTTATTGATTTAGTTATTGTTATTGGTGTATTATTTTTTAAAACATCTATATGCCGAAGAGACTTTAAGAAGACACTCCATCTAGTTGGAATCAACCCACCTTATACCAAACACATTTATTTGCTTTAATTTTGTTCAAATTGATTCTCTAGTGAGAAGTTTACTCTTCTAAGATGCAAGCAATGAGCAAATGATTTTACGTTTATTATTTGAGATTTTCCCTAAAATATAACTAATAACAAATATGTAAATAAAAATGTGACTAGAATTTATTATGTGTAAGTAATATAGTCATTATGATTTTACATTTGAATACAATTATAATCATTAAAGTTATTGGAATCATCTTTTTATCCACGACTTATATTTTGATTATATATTTGAAATTATTTTATATTTTTCATTACTTTGAACCCACAGAGTATACTTAATAAGTTCCACACTCAAGACGAAAGAGTATCTCCGAAGATGATTTTGTCATTTTGGTGAACATGACAAATATATACTCCCTCTTGTCCTGTGAGAGCCTATACTACATCCGGTTGTACGATGCTCATAGTACAACTGAGTATTTTATCTTACACATAATGAGTATTACGTTTAAAATGAATGAACATTTTTATTAAATCATTGTATTAATAGCACAATTGACTAATATAGGTGTACAATTGAGTATCTTGATCTATATGTAATATACATGCTACAAATCAACTTACTCAGTTAACTATATTATCATTGCATTATCAAAAAAATATTTATATAGTAATTTAATAATTTAGTACTAATACTAATACTCAGCTCATTTCATTTTAGTTATATACTCATTAGGTATGAGTTAAAATACCCGTTTGTACCATGTGCATGGTACAGCCGGTTGTACCATGTGCATGGTACAGCCAGTTGTACCATATAATTTACTCATGTCCTGTTGAATATTGTCTACATTAATTTGAGTGTGGAATAAAAAAGTAAAAATTGAGTGATTTAGATTTTTTCATAAGAGAGAAATAAAGAGAACCACAAATTCATTATTAAAAGGAAAGTGAAAGTTATGTAATAAACAAAAAATGAAAATTAGCAAAGTGTATGGAATATATTTTTGGAAAATTTTTATTTCTGCATACTTGTAGACGTAATTTTGCACATCCGTTTATTCGTTTTGTGTAGAAAATCATTTTTTCGCACATAGAAAAATGATTTTTTATATAGATATTTTTTTAAGTCATCCATTAAGGCAATTTTCAGGCGTCAATGTCTCATTGCTGCGACCGTGCGGTTATGGCGTCGATCCTTCTCCAAGTCTTGATATGGAGTATGGACTTGTCTTCCATCCATTTACAGAAAGTCTAAATAATCGCAAAAACCCGAAACCCCAAAATCCCAAAATCCAGAGCCATTGAGGAAAATCTACCGGAGTAGTATATTTTCATGTCCACAGATACAAGTATGTTGCTACCAGTATGTTGCTTTTTATGGGTAAAAAAGTGAATTCGAAGTTGTGATATAGGTGCAGAAGAAAGGGAATCACGGAGGAAAGGCTCTCATAAAAATGGTCTCCATCGCCGAAATTCCTCCTCTTGCACATCTACGATTGACCCAAGCCCCCTTAAGAGAAGGCACTGGCTTCACCAACTCTCAGAACTGGCCAAATTTGAGAGTTCATTCATATTTCAGGATTTCAGCAAGTGTGACGGGTCGAAATCCTAGTTTTGCCGTTTCTAGGGAGAGGAAAATTCAAGAATTCAAGCTATTCAGTTCATTTAAACTAAATAGATCCGTTACCAGTGATGATGAGGATGAAATGGGGGAAGGATTTTTCGAGGCGATTGAGGAACTAGAACGTATGACCCGAGATCCCTCTGACGTGCTCCAGGAAATGAACCAGAAACTATCCGCACGTGAGTTGCAACTGGTTTTGGTATATTTTGCTCAGGAAGGGAGGGATTCATGGTGTGCACTGGAGGTCTTTGATTGGCTCAGGAAGGAGAACAGAGTTGACAAGGAAACAATGGAGCTTATGGTGTCAATAATGTGTGGGTGGATTAAGAAGCTGATTGACACAAAGAGTGAGATTGGGGATATCGTTGACCTTCTGGTGGATATGGATTGTGTAGGGTTAAAGCCGAGCTTTAGTATGACGGAGAAGGTGGTTTCTTTGTATTGGGAGGCAGGTGAGAAGGAGGGGGCGGTTGGTTTTGTGAAGGAGGTTCTCAGGAGGAAAATGGTTTACTCTGTTGGTGATTCTAAAAACCCTAAGGGCGGTCCGACCTGTTTTCTTGCTTGGAAGATGATGGTAAGGATGACACATTCTCTATTTCTCTTGAAGTTTTGCCATTATGTAAATTTTGAAGAGAGATTTACCTAAATAGGACTAAAACTAGGTAGAATTTTAAAAACAGGACTGCTATGTTTTATTTGACAAAAATAGGACTAAAAAGAAGTAATCTACCAAAACTACCCTTAATTAAAGCCTAATGCTCTGTCGAGCAACTATTGCGATGCACACTAGCGATGCACAACGGCCTCCATCGTTGTTGGTGCTTCTAGCGGTGCTGCCACAGAACATTACCGCCATCCAATCAAACCACAACCTCCGTCTGCCACCCTCCGGCGAGACACCAACCACCATCAATCATTAGTGCAGGACCTCCTCCTGCACCAAAATCACAAAGCAGGACCATAGCTTAAAAACTTATTAGGTAGGTAATCTCTTCTTTTTCTTCCTAGTTCTCTGCTTTTTTTTATATTTTTTATCAATAAGATTTTAAATAAAATTTTGATTTTTGAAAGTTTCAAATGAAGATATACCTGAACTTGAATTTCTTGTTATCAATTACAGAAAATGACACTTTTGAATAAGAGAATGTCATAATTATTGAGTATTTTTACAAAATGACACTTTTATGTCATTACAATATTTGAAAATGACATATTGAGAATGCCACGTTTCTATACAAAATTGTCATTATTTTGTTATTATGCATATTAAGTGGCATTCTTAAAACATGTCAATTTTTGAAAAATGAAATCTTGTGTAGTCTGATGTTAAAATAATGTTGGCATTTTGGAATAGAAAGATGACATTTACAATTATTAAAACATGTCATTTTCGAGTAAAGATGACATTTTCGAATTACAGTGTCTAAAATAATCTTAAATTTAAAAGAAGAACAAAACAGAGGGGAAGAAGAAGGAGAAGGAGGAGAAGAAGAAAAAGAAGAAGACGCAGAGGAGGAAGAATACCTGGGGAAGATATTTCAGCTGTGATGATGGCGGTTGAGCTGCATCCATGGCTGCCGGGGAAGAAATTACAGCTGCGATGATGACGGTTGGGTTGCGTCCATGGCAGCTGAGTCGCAATCGATGTAATCGCAGGCAACTGCTTCATTGCAATCGTAGGTGCGATCGAAGTAGAGATGTGATCGATGTAGAGGGATTGGGGAAAACGTGATTTAGGGATTATGGGTAAAAATGTAATCTGGAGTCCCATTTAGGCAAATTAAAACTTGAAGTCCTATTTTGAAGTTTTCACCATGTTTTAGTCCCATTTAATATAATTTCTTAATTTTGAAGCTTGCAAATGGTTTTCTTAGTGTATCTTCTTCTTCCTGCATTTTGGATTGTACTGAATTCCGCTAACTGCATTAAGGTCAGAATGGCCTACAACACTCTTACAATTCATTAATATGCCCTTCTCATTAATCATTTGCCAAAAAGATGCAGCCTTGCAATCTGCACCTGTTTCGGGTCCATTTGGAACCCAGAAATTGCTACGTGGAGAAAATAAGAAGAAAATAGCCAGAAAACTTGGATGGAAAGAAAACTGGGTGGAGCTGTTTCAAGCTCAATAGATTAATTTGAGTTATTTGTACGTATTCATTTTATTTATAGAATTTTATTTAATGAAGTTGTAGAAATCTTAATACATGTAAAATCTTTAAAAGTTATAATTGAAATTTATTTTTCTTATGCATATTCCCTAGTTGTGACATGTGACCGAAAGGTCACTGGTTCAAGTTTTGGGTTCGGCTTCTTGTCAAAATGACAAGGGACTGCTTGATCCTTAAACACCCTTGTGGCGATGGCAAAGTGCACCAGGCTGCCAAAAAAGATCCCAAGATAAAATTGAACATTATAAAAAACATTTTACTTGGCATTTATTCCTTCCTTTCCGCACACATTTTCTGTATTCCAAACGTAGCCTTAGAGTTTGAACGCTCCCCTTTGAAACTTGAAACTTTGAAAGTTCTAGAGTGTACTGAGTATTTGAGATTTCCTGATTTTCGACTCAGGCATTCTAGTCAATTAGTTTTTTTTTTTGGATGAAATGTAAAAAATATATAGAATCATCCAAGATTCTAGTCAATTAGTCATTGTATCCTTGATGTTTAAGCTCTGTTGGTTAGCATTTCAGAAAATTTATGCACATTTAGTCATTTCAGCCATATAACTGTTATCGAACAGGCCCTTAGTATTGTATATTCTTCTCTGAATCTGAAGAGCAGGTCTTGTACAAATAATGGAATCTATCTCTTATGGCCTAGCCACTTCCTTGCAAGAAGCAAGGGAAAGGTGGCTGATAATGATGTCATCTTTTTAGTTGATTATCGTATGTACTCAACATCAGCAGTTTGATGACTTTCCGTCTGTGTTTATATTGCAAACTTGTTTTTTCTCCTCTATTTGTTTTCATCCTTTGCAGTCATAAATTTATATCTACCAGGAGCAAGGGAGTTACAGAGAAGCAGCAGCATTAGTGACTAACATCAGAGATTGTGGCTTGAAGCCAGAGGTATACAGCTACCTAATTGCAATGACAGCAGTGTTAAAAGAGCTTAATGAATTCGGCAAAGCTCTGCGTAAATTAAAAAGCTTTGCCAAATCTGGTCTGGTTGTTGAGATGGATGCTGAAAACATTACTTCCATTGAGAAATACCAAAATGAACTTCTAGCAGATGGTGTGCGTCTCTCAAATTGGGTAGTACAAGAAGGGGGGCCGTCCCTACTTGGGACCGTTCACGAAAGGCTTCTCGCCATGTATATGTGCTCCAGCCGCGGAGTAGAAGCAGAGCAACATTTATGGCAAATGAAGTTTATGGGTAAAGAGGTCAACAGAGATCTTTACGATATTGTCTTAGCCATATGCGCTTCGCAAAACGAAGCGGGGTCAATCGGGAGGTTACTCACCAGAATGGACACTTCAAGCTCACTGCAGAAAAAGAAGAGTCTTTCCTGGTTGATGAAAGGTTACATTAAAGGCGGGCATTTAGAGAAAGCGGCTGAAACCCTAAAGAAAATGCTTGAGTTTGGTCTTCGTCCTGAGTTATCGGACAGAGTGGCTTTGCTTCAGGGTTTAAGGAGAAGGATTCAACAGCCTGGAGGCCTGGAAGCTTATCTTGATGCTTGTAAATGCCTTTCCCATGCGGAGTTGGTCGGCCCGTGTGTTGTGTATCTGTATATAAAAAAACACAGGCTTTGGATGATGAAAATGCTATAAGCAACACGGTATGTTTGACTACTATTTGTATAATATATAATATACTCCGTAATATACTACGTATACATATAAAATACGTAGTATAATACTCCGTACTATGTATATAATATATATGTAAATCTTCAGTTGGTTTAAAACAATGATAAGTATCTGCATGATTTTCAGTTTTTTGCTTATGTGTATGTATAAATGTATGATGTTGAATGATTCTTAATGGTTCAAAAAAGTTTACTTATATACGCAGTCCAAGTAAGTTTTTATTGATTGCGTGATTGGGACATTGTTAATATGATTGGGTGAATTTTGGGGTGGATTATTCGAAGTACTAAAAGTTTGCCAATCTCTGCTTTCTAAAAGTGTGTTTGGTAAGGCTTGATTAAGCATTTAAGCACTTATAGGAACGGTTCATTTGGATCAAAAGTTTATGGTGTAAACTGAAAGTGGAGGGATCAGTTTAAAGTGTTATCATTTTTAGTCTTCCGATTATTATGTCACTGACGTTTTTGGTATCCGACTTTGATTATTGCGCTAAAGACACTTTTGATACTCATCTTTAAAAAATTTCATTCTAGTTTTTCGATTTTCATAAAAGTAACAGTTTTATGATTTCAATTGTTATAACCGTGACATTTTTAGTCCTCCATTTATTGTATCTAAATCAAATGGAATTAGGCATGAACCGGTTCCGGTTCAGGCCCGGTTCGGGCCTGGGCCTGGCCGGGCCTCGGTTCAAGAAGGGGAGGCCCGGAACCGGCCCGGGTAACCCCCGGGTCCGGGCCGGGCCGGGCCTCGGTTCTATATTTTTTTTTGGCTTTTCCTAGTTCACCCCCAACCCCCCCCCCCCCCCCTCACCCCCAAACCAACCCTAACCACCTCAAATGGCCCAAAATACCCAGCCCAACCCAAAAACTTAAAAAAAATTCAAAAACAAATTGGCCTGGCCCGGGCCCGAACCGGCCGGGCCGGTTCACCTTTTGAAGGGCCCGAGTCCGAACCGCCATCGCACTGGGCCGGTTGGCCCGAACCGGGCCCGGAACCGGTTCACCGGACTGGGCCGGGCCTGCACAGTAGCGGGCCGGTCAGGTTCCGGGGCGGTTGGCCCGGCCCGAGTCCACCCCTAAATGGAATGACTGAAAGTTGCAATTTTGATAATACTCAGAGGAATAAAATGGAAAACTTTGAAGTCGAGGATTAATAGTATCTTCCGCACAATAGTCGAAGATTAAAAATAGAAAGATTGAAAGTCGTGTGTGAAAAGTGTCACTGACACAATAATCGGGGAACCGAAAGTGCCAAAAACTCAACCAGTTTAATTTTGGTCCAGTTTTGTATGAATAGTCTTAGTCAAGTCATATTGAAGTCTTAATTGATTTAGCTCCATCATTTCCAATGAAATCACTATTTTTTAGCTTGAGAATATCATAAAATAAAACAAAATGACTCACTAAATTGTTTGCGCTTCTATTGTTATGAAATAGTAATGTTATTAATAAGGGACCTAAAAGATAGCATGTGTCGATAAAAGACCTGATTTTGTTTTTTGGAAGAGGGGGGCTTAAATTGACATCACAACACTAGCATTCCGAAAGGGGTTAAAACGATATAAGGACCACAGGCAAACCATAAGCTCTCGAACCAGACTTTGAGTTCACCTTCAAAAAAGCAATATAACTCGTTGATATTATAATGGGCTTACATGAACCAAAGACGGTTGTTGTAGACCTACCATCACTCAATCTTAATGAAAGAGTCTTACAACCAAAAATCAAAACAACATAAACATAAATAGTCTGATTAAAGGAAACAACAATTAAAAAAGAAGAAATAAAACAACATCAAAGTGTGCTGCCACTATCCAACCAAATGGTCTGTCAAGCATCATCAGACAAACCAGTGGGTCTACTGATCAAGACCTGCCTCCTCCCCGTTTTTTGGCTTGTCGAGTGCCATGCCCTCTCGAGCTGGATCTTCCTGTTCTTTTTCCTCCCAGATTCTTCCGCGTTTTTGCTCTCCTGGCATCTCCTCCGAGCTCTCCGAGTTCCCTTCCTTAGTGGAGTTAGTTGCAGTTCCCGTAGTAGCCTCTTTCCAGCCCTGGCCTCCTGTGCCGTGACTATCACTCCTCTGTGGTACTCCCATACCGGTACTTGAGGACCCTTCGACTAGCCACTTGTTACTTCTTGTAGGACTAGTCTTCACCCAACCCCCAGATCTAAGTTGAACTCCATAAATTTTATTTAAAGTAATGTTATCTCCCTCATACACAACTGGACAAAACTTATCAGAATGCCCAATAATCCCATAGTAAAGCAAAAAAATGGAAGTTTTTCATATTTGAAGTCCACTCGATGGCTAATACCCCCCTTTTAAGGTTGTTCCTTTTTTCAGGGATTTCCTAATATCCATGTAGACCCTAATGCGCACATATAAGCCTCCCATTTTTCATCAAACTGACTTTCATCAAAACTAATAAATTTTCCAATATAGTTACCCATTCTCATTCTACATTCATAAAACCATAAGCCACGTTATGAATCTGAACCCAAAATTCAGCCTCATTCAGACTGATATGTAGAGGGATATCCTCCGGCCGAATTTCTTTTAGGATCAACAAATTCCTCTCGAACAACCACAGACCATGATCTAAACACACGCCTCATATCCAAAATGTGGTAAAAAGTAAAGATATACCTATTTTCGTCAATTTCCTTAATGGATGCACCTTTGACTGGTCTCCACAAAGATGCCATAAGCTTCTTGAAGATCTGAAATTTGATCTTCCGATCCGTGAGTACCATGCCGACCACAGGGAAGGACGCCTTCCCATAGCTCGCCACCGATTCTCCTCCTTCATTTTTTTGTTCTCCATCATCATCGAAGACATATTCCTCGTTGTCCTCATCAATAGCCTTCTGTTTGTACTGGTTTACAATATTGTCCATCAAAGAAAACCACCATTGCTCCGTCCAAATAGCTCTCGCCTCCAAATGCACATATACAAGGCCTGAATATTGAAAGCTATGAATCTAAGAACTAAAAAATATATCACAGATTTTGATTTATTTAATTCTTTTATTAATTCTATTACAAATTTTTGATAATTTTTTCTTCACAAAAAGTTTATTAGTTTAATAATAAGATTAAATGATATTTAATGTCTAAAAATAAAAATATAAAAGTTTGTGATGTTTTATATGTTACGCGTGAGTCTTTTCCCTCAACTACTTTCATGAAATCACGATCAACTAGCTAAGTAAAAAAATAGCGATCAACAACAATGACTTATATTTATGATAATAAATTGTGGTTTACTTTAAAATTTGTAGACAAAATCATTGAAATTAAGAGCTTTATGCAATTTAATTTAACAAATGTTAATGCGGGGGTGTAACACCCCGGTCCCGTAGACCCCGAGGTAGTTACTCTAGACCTCTAATACTGTCCTCACAAACCGCCACTAGCCTTTTCCGCGCACTTTGTCCTCAGTCGTGCGCGCTCTAAGAAACTTCCCAGGGGGTCACTCATCCCAAGACTACTCCCTTGCAAGCACGCTTAACTTTGGAGTTCTTAGGTGATGAGCTCCCTTAAAAGGAGATGCATCTTGTTGTTATGAGTAGTACTATTAATCCATTTAAATTAAATCTCAAGTGTTACAATCACCCCCACTTAGGATCGCAACGTCCTCGTTGCGCCCTTAACAATCTCAATCAAACCCCAGAATCTTGCCCCGCTAAGTGCCCGCCCGATATCCAACGGGTCAACACACTGTCGCAGGGTTGCTCTGATACCATTTGTAACACCCCGGTCCCGTAGGCCCCGAGGTAGTTACTCTGGACCTCTAATACTGTCCTCACAAACCGCCACTAGCCTTTTTCGCGCACTTTGACCTCACTCGTGCGCGCTCTAAGAAACTTCCCAGGGGGTCACCCATCCCAAGACTACTCCCGTGCAAGCACGCTTAACTTTGGAGTTCTTAGGTGATGAGCTCCCTTAAAAGGAGATGCATCTTGTTGGTATGAGTAGTACTATTAATCCATTTAAATTAAATCTCAAGTGTTACAGGGGGGGACAGTGAGATTGATCAAAATTTCGGGAGTAACTAATTGATTTTTGAAAATGTCAGATTACATTAATAATTATGACATAACCTCAGAGGGCTAATAGTGATTTTCCCTTATTACTATACAATAAGTGATTTATTCAAGTCTAGTATTGTTTAATTTAATTGGACCTCTAGTAAACAAGTATTTGACCTTTTGTTGTGTAGTAGAATTTTTTTCACGGGAAAATAGTAATGATAGTTTAACATGTTTAGGGAATTGTTACATTAAATATTTTTGTGCGAAATGGAAATAGACATTTAAGATATTTAAGGAATTTTTAGTTTTTTCCTGCACTCTAATGATAATCCTTTATGGTTTAGTTCTAAACTCCTAACCTGGGTTACTGGGTAAGAAGAATAACTTTGAGAAATAAGTTTTCGTCCTTTGATTTTGGATATGAAAATAGAAGAAACATAACTCGTGAGCTTGCAATACAATATAGTTTCTCATATTCTTAATGTCACCATAATTATAAGTGATCAATATGCTCGAGATAGGTGAAATTGAAATCATAATTATAAGTGATCAATATGCTCGAGTTTGGTGAAATTGAAACCATAATTATAAGTGATCAACATCAATTAATTGAATATTGTTATTCAGTTTCACCATCAATGAAAATATGCTCGAACTTTTAAAAGAATCATAATTGAAATCACTTGTAAGATATCGGAATTCAAATAATTGAATTGATACTCATTTTAAATTTTGCTTAAATTATCATTTAGTTAGTTATTCTTCAAAATCTTTTATTTTAACGAAACTTAAAAATTGAGAATCTGATGGATTTTGGAGTCACAAAAACCTTCCAAAATTATTCCTCCACATATTTTAACTCAACACAAATACTCCGTCTATCTTTTTTTTTACAAACACTTTTTAGTAGGAATCATGCATGAATCAAACTGCAAACAATCTAACCCTATCTTTTATGACAATATTCATCCGCCAAGTCAAATTAGTGTGATGGGAGAGTTATTGTTCAGTTTGTTCTCAACGGATTTGTTTTTTTAGTAAAGATTTTTCGTTCATTGAATTGGGAAAAGGCAAAATTGCATTTGGCACGTGCGCCACGTTTTTGTGTGGAATATACTCCGTATGTTACCTCAGGCGAAGGTCGTTCAGGATAATTGCTTGCACGGATATGATTGTTGGCAGCTTTTGTCACAAACATAGAAAATGAAAGAAGATTAATTACCCAAAATTGGACTAAAACGTTTATAAAAAAAATATTTATATATTCCAAAATATAATTATCTTGTTTTTATTATCAAAATAAGACTAATTACTTTCATATTGTAGTAATATCAGACTTTAAACATGACAGTATTTTCCAAACTTGACAATAATTAATCATATTTTGGGAATAAAAACATTACAATCTTATCTTGGAATTTTCAAACTTTTTTATTCCTATTTCAAGATTTTTCCCTTTTTTAAACAGAATGAAAGCAAGATTATAACCACAGTTTGGAATTTTTGCCGATTTGTTATAACCACAGTTTGGATTTTTTGCCGATTTGTGCAATTTTGGTTGGCATTCCATCAGATTTCGCGTACAAGTTGCGGTCTTTTGAAGCTCGGTAACTTATTATGATTGATGAGTTTTAATTTTAGCAATCGTTTTGGTTTCTTTTCCATGTAGAAGCATGGTCGGCCATGTTGAAAATCACGAGGAAACACGAAACGAGAAACGTCAACTTTTGTTCAAAAAGAGAGTTTCTAACGAGTTCTTGTAGAGTTTATGAAATGGAAACATACTCTTTCCTGGAAATTTTAGTGTTACATAGATGGTAGCTAATGAAATTCACCTATGGCAATTTCCAAATTTTGGTTATTTTTTTAACTTTTAAATATTACGTAGTAGAGAACCAGTCACAACTCACAACTCACAACACATGAGAAATACGGAGTACGAAGTAAGATCTATTCCAAACTACTACGGAGTAGTATATATCAATGAGAATTCAGAATATAGATGATAATTTACCGCAATAAAACTGAATTACATAAAGAATCTATGTAGCTGATTTTCATTGATGGTGAAATTGAATAACAATATTCAATTAATTGATGTTTATGTATATTAGATTCAGGACCGACTCTAACGTTTTGGAGGCCCAGACGAAAAAACGTTTAATATTGCATACCATATTATTCTGATTTATATGACACAATATTTGAGGAAGCAAAATTTTGGAGGCATCATATTTTTTTTTGTCTTTACATCGATCTATAGAGTTAGCAAACGATTTAATAACTAAATCTTTAAACTTATTCTCCTTTTTTTGTACATTTGAAGTCAAATTTTCGTTTACCCGCCGTGACAATTCCTACGTATTTAGCATATTTATAGATAATAATTAATTAAAAAAACCATCAACACAAAATAAGAAATACGGAGTATCAATTATAAAATATGAGTGGTCAAATAACTAAATTCTCAATATTATTACTGATAGAGTATTAACTCCTGGATTCTAGAGAGAAGTGAAAGCTAGAGAGAGAAGTGCAATAATATGCTTCAATAGAATGATTTTGTAACCCCTACAACTACTCCCAAGGGGAGTATTTATAGAGAAAATTAGGGTTGGGCTCCCAAGCCTTGGGCTTGGGAGGCCCATTTACAACTGGACCGCTACTGGGCCGAATACAAAGCCACTAATGGGCTGTACAAATGAGTAAGTATAGGATCCGATTCTGGGAGGTCATCGTGGCCGACGAGGGCGTGGCCGACGAGGGCACGGCCGACGAGGGCACGGCCGACGAGGGCACCCGGGTTCTTTGGACTCAGGATCATAATCCGGGTTGGCTTCTTCTCGGCCGACGAGGGCGTCTTGGCCGACGAGGGCATCTTGGCCGACGAGGGCGCCACTTTGTTGTCTTGTGCTCTGTCCTTCCGAGTATGTGGGTCCTGGGGCTCAGACCCATATACTCCATCAGGAGTCCCCCACTCTCTAAGCTGAGACGTAGACGAAGTGAAGGAGAGTAGATTTCTGTGCTGTTGCTTTTGGCCGTTAGCCGTTGCGGCGTTGGCGTTGTTTCCTCTTTGGTGATCCTGTTCTGCGCTTTGGCCGTTACCTGTTCCTCGCTGTGGGCGGGGAGGCCGTTGTTTCAACGATGGCCGTTGAAGGCGATGAGTATCCTTCTTTCGATGGTGGCCGTTGAGGGCGCGCTTTCCCTTTCCTGGCCGTTGGTGGTTGAGGTTTATGTTTGGGCCGGTGAGGTCGTTCCTTGCTTTGAGGACGATGGCGTCCTTTCCTTTGGGTGGCCGATGAGGGTGCTCGCGCACTCCTTTTGGCCGTTGCTGGTTGGCCTTCGTGTTCTTGGCCGAAGGGCCCGTCAAGATTAGTTGTTTGGCGGAGGACGATGAGTGTCTTTGCCTCTAGTGGCTTGTTGGCCGTTGCTAATGACGTTTTGGGCCTTTGGCCGATGAGGTTCCGTTGTGTTGTGTGGATGATGTGGCCATGTTTTGTGGTTACCTTGTTTATACCTTTGTTCTTGTTGAGGCCGGTGTAGTCCCCCAGTCCCCCACTGCTTCAGGCCGAAGAGTGTGAGGGGTGAAGGAGTTGCTTGAGTCCTTGGCCGAAGCAGTCTCGCCGTAGTCCCCCTGAATCCAACTCTCATGGCGATTTTCTGGCCAAGGTAACCCTGTGGGAGAACCCTTGTGCGCAGATCGCTTGTAGAGAGTTATCATCAAGGGTTATTACGAGGAGCCGAAGGCTGTGGACTATTTGTTCCCTTTGTTCTGTGGCCGTCACGTACCTGGCCGTTGCCATCCTCTTATTGTTTGGCATTTTTGAGATATTGGTGAGCAAGTGGGACGTTGTGGGCGCT